AGGTGGTGGAACCACTAAACTTAATCTTCAGACCTTCCCAGTGCTTTTTTATGGACATCAACAATTCATCCTAATTATCATCATCATTCAATATTTATTAAATTGCTGAGTGTATATGTTTTGTACCAAACTGTTAATTCTGCAATACTGACCAACAACCAAGCAGCTTCATAATTATAATGTAATTTTTAAAAAATGACTTTAAACATACTGATATTTCATCTTTAAGTTCTGCATTTACACTGAAGTGGGAATTTTTATTTTAATACTTTCATTTATTTTCAAGCAATTGATGGATTAACTGGAATGGCTTTCAACTTCTTTTACTATATAAATGGAAATACATAAACTAAGATAATATAAGTAACATGGAAGCTTAATAGAAGATATAATAAAAAACAGAAAATCAAGAAAAAGGGTCAACATCTTGTTGGAGTGTTGATCTTTTATGCAGATTTTAACATATTTTTTTTCACATTTTCCCTTCTCTCACCTAACTGAAAGTTACCTATCACTAAGATAAAATTTTACAAATATAATGCATTGAATAGTTGAATAAAATTTTACAGATTTTGTCAAGTTACTTCTCTATACATTTTTTTTTTGTATTTTGAGAAGAGAGCTAATTATGTATTTCAGGCTGGCATTGAACTCACTATATAGCCCAGGCTGGCCTTGAATTTAAAATGATACTTCTGCCTCAGCCTCCAAAGTACTGGGATTAAAAGCATGTGCTACCGTGCTTTTAATTTTGTTACTTTTAAATTTGTTACATCTTAATTTGATACTACTAGAATATCTCCAAAATATTTTGTGTTGCAAACTATGATATCTGGAAATATGGTTAACTTTTATTTATATAAAAATAAAGCAAGGTTTCTCAATATTGGCATATTTGACTTTTGGAAATATACTTTATATTGCAGGATTTTTAGCATAATTTCTATACTATTTACCAACTCCTTGTTTTCAACCTTTTTCCTTCCTGACATTGTGACTATTAAAAAACTCTGTACTTGGTCATATGTCCATATAGGGGCAAAGTCATCCCTAGTTTTGAGCTTCTGAATTAAAGAAACAGTTCTGTAAATAGTAAATAAAGACCATTGCTTTTCATACAGTTTAATTGTTAAGATTTTCAATTTTGAATCCAGTCTCTTAGAGTTCCTATTCTGACATCTGTCTTTTTTTCCTCATTTTCCTGTACCCCTGCCCTCCTTTCACCTCCACCACCCTCCCCTATTTACAAAAACTTTATTTTAATTTTTTCCCTTTTCTCATTTTTTTCTTTTCCCTTATTACCTTTCCCCTCTCATTCCCACTTCACCTACACCTTTATTGACATCTGACTTTGAACAATTTAACCTCTGAACATTGTTTTCTGTATGTGGAAAATGATATATTGTAGTGCTTCAGAGGGCAGGCATTTGTAAAAGTTCTGTATGACTTTGGAAAAATTATTTTTAACTTTTAATCTTTATTTACTTGATTTTTACATGGGATAACAATAGTATCTATCTCACAGCATTGTGGTACAAACCAAATGTGTTGAATTACTCAGAATGCATAGAATAATGCTTGACACATAATTATTTCTATATACTTCTATGTTAATATTGTTATATTTAAAATATTTGAAAGACCTGAGAAACTATGGAGCAGTTGCATAAATTCACAGTCACTACATGTTCTTTATTTCTATGTCAAGAAATAAATAAAATAAATATATATATATATTATCAATTTTTTTTTAGAAGTTTTTCTGTCTTTTTCTCTACTGACACAATCAAGCTGGTATTACTTATACAGCCTCATATTTTTAGGTACTCCTCTGAAATTATTTTACTCAGATTACATACATGCACTTTCCATACTTTGTGTTGAAATGAAATGGTCATTGACTTGAAGACAGAAGACTGATGCTTTTTGATCATGGGTAAATCACTGAAACTCATATCAGTTTTCTCTTCTGGCAACTGAAATCATCAATTTAAACATGGATCTATTGATTTCACTGTGAAATGTAAGACTCATGAGAATTATTTAATGTAGAAGTGATTTGAGTAGTAACATAATTTGAAAAAAAATGTGGTGTTATGACGATGATAATGACATTGATGATATTGTATCAACACTTGGTATCAGATCACTAAACCCTAATGAGAAAAATTATCTAATACTTCAAATAATTCTATTTAATATATTGCTAAAGTGAGAAAGCACTATAAAGAAATCACAACAGTAAAAGTTGTATAAATCAGCTTCTATATAATTGTATCTATTCACTTACACCTTAATTCATATAAAGTATCTTTTAATGTGTAGTCTTACATTTTGTTACAGATTTACTTTTAATGTTGTAATATCTTACATGGAATAATCATTGTTGGGTATTCAACAGTTTTATGCCTTTAAGTTACAAAACATGTAAAATATAAAAATTATTTTTATAATTTTCTACTACTTAAAATACATCACCCATTTTTAAATATTAAAAGTGTACAGTATAATAACATTCTTTAGCAATGACACTGAGGAGTGAACTCAGGTATACATTATATTGTATATGTTTTAATTACCGTGGAACTTGGGGAACACTCCAGCATCCAAATTCACATTTCAACTAAGAAAGTGGCCTGTGTTCTACAAAGTATCTGTAGGTCAGTGTGCCCTACTTTCCACTGCAAACAAAAGTAGGTAGATTTCCTCATCTCTACTGTGCATGTGTGTGTGTGTGTGTGTGTGTGTGTGTGTGTGTATCAGGGCCAAGGACCTAATAGGCATTTGATTATGATCTTTTAACCTTTAGAGCTAAGATTAAGAGAGATTCAAAATGAGTTTTGCCCTGCAGAAATGTGTGTGGCCTTTTTACCAAATAATGCCTAATGAATAAAGAACCCTCTCATGAGTTGACATGGATACCAGTCTTAAGGACAAATCACTCTTTGAGTTGGGCCACATAGTGCTTGGAGGAGCCAAACCTAGTCAGCACATCTGCCAAAGTTTCCAAGACTCAAGCAATCTCCTGAATGTAATGGTTTATTTAGCATTTATTACATTCACTGCAGGACGGGGTGGGGCACAGCCACATCATAAACTAGAAGCTGGAGGTGGTGCAGATGGTGCAGGATCTTTCTTCTACCAGGCCAACATGCCCTGTGGGGGGCTAAACAGGCAGCACTGGAACTCATGGTGATCTGTAGACTGGGACAGCCAGAGAGAAAAACAGGTCTAGAAAGAAATATTTTAATACATTGTGTAGGCCTTGTGACATATATCTTGTATTTCCAAAAGCTATACTGTGAATTTAGGGATAGACAGTTGAATTTAATAAGGAAGGGAGAAGAGACGATCTATGTGTTTAGCCTCTGACTCAAGTATTAGTGGATAAATAAGCAGTATACAGCCAGGACACAAATATGGGAATGCAAAGGAACATTTTATAAACAAATATCCTGGCTGGAAATATAGCTTCAACCATAATAAAGAAAATGGGGAATTGTGAGTTATCAATTTCACTGAAAGTTGAAGGTAATTTTTATTCTGTCAAGTGACGAATAAAAAATAACCTTATGTAGAGTAATAAAAGGCTTGGTTAGCTCTAGATGAATAGAAGGTGATCTTAGATAGGACAATTTCCCAATCATTGAATCAGATATAAGTGAGGCATTATGCTTGAGTGATATTTCAAGTTATAAATTCAGAAATTTTCAGTACTTTTAAATCTCCTTTAAATGACAGTTAAATTTTGAATTTCAGAGTATACAAGTCCAGCAACAAATAAGTTCAACAATTCAGGGATTAAATACAGTGAAGACATGGCTCATATCCTAGTTCAACAAAGGCTGGTGATTACAGAAAATTACTTACTATGCTTTTATTCTAGAGACAAAGTTTCTATGCCCAACATCAAGTAGGGCATTACAGACATTCATCAAATCAGCTGCTTTTCAAAAAGACTAAGTAAAAGAGGTAGAGACCACAAGAAAGATATCAGTAGAAATCTTCAGAGGCCTGAAATCAAAGCTTTTCTTTTACAAATATTCCACTCAATAGAACTCAATCACATGCCTTCACCTTATTTTGTTAATGTCAAAAAATGTGGCTTAGTTTTCTACACCAAAGATAAGAAAATGCGATTTGGAGAACAATTTATTTTTCATGGTGGCATTCCCACCTCTCTCATCTACCCTCGCCTCTCTCATTCATTCCTGCTCTGGGGTTTGAAATGAGGTCATTTACACTGAGCTATAAATTCTGCCTTTTTAATTTTTTGTATTTTAAGACAGAATCTTGCTAAATTTCTAAGTTGCCCAGGCTGGGCTCAAACTTTCAATTCTCCTGTCCCAGCCTCCAAGAATGCTAGAATTGTAGATTTCTAGCTAGACAATATTTTATTCTATGAGATGATAAAGCACACATCCTGGTTAAGGTTTTGTGCCTGTAGAAATTACTGGATTATAAATTGATGAAGAGGAAGCAATCTATAATTGAATATTTATTTCTAGAACTATCGACTTTGGAAGATCTATAATTCTTCACTAGAATTTGGAAGAAATTTATTTGGTCACTAAGCAAGAGCTTGGATTCACCTCTTTCATAATAAGAGACTGTCACATCTGAAGAAGGGGTATATACCATGTCATGCCATGCCACTGGTCTGCTGGAACACACAGCTACTGATA